GCCATGGGCGGCGTTGCGGCCGTCTTGGGGAGGCCGAGGGCGCCGATGTCGATGCCTAGGCCGACGAGCTCGCGGGTGATGAGGTTGAGGGCGCTGCTGATGACTAGGGGGCGGGGTGTGGTCAGTCAGAGTTTAGGGCTCAAAGTTGGATCCTGTTCCCCTTCGGCTGGAATATGTCGAAGGGGGATGAGGGAATGCTTCAGACCCTTAACTCACCTGGGTTGATGCGCTTCACGGACGCCAGGATACGGACGCAGTACTCCAGTCTCCGCAGCGCTTGCGTGTCCTCGACGCTGGACTGCACCTGGAGCAGGAAGATGGACGCGGCAATGTACACGCTATACGAAAGGGAGAGCACGCAGTGGCTGATGCCGAAGGAGCGGCAGAATAGATCAAAGATGGCGATGATTCCCGTCGCCGAAGTCACGCACTCGCCGAGGTACCGCTGCACCGGCTGCAGGTTATCGCCTACTCTTCCGCGCTGAGACAGCATGGGACGGTAGAGGAGGATCTTGAAGGTGCGGTAGAGGACGCTAAGGGGAGGGTCCAAATGTCAGTATCTTTCGCTTCAAAGGGGGACGACGGGACGTACTTCAACGTGATGATGTGCGACGGCGGCGCCAGGGCTGGGAGAGCCGTGGGTTCGATCTTTAGGTGTGGAGGCAGCTCATCCCACCACTGACGCAGGGCGACTTCTTGCTTGGCGAGACAGTCCTGCATCTCGGCCTGGCTGTTGGGCCGCACGGGGTCGTACATGTGGACGAGGATCTCGTTAAAGGTTATCGAGAGACGGCACATTTGCATGAAGCACGAGGTGGAGTGCGCCGCCGCGGGGGGATACTTCCAGCCGCCTTCCGGTACGACGCCAAAGGGCGTCCACGACTCGTTCTCGGCCGAGTCGTCAACTATCATCTCGCCAGTCAGCATTCTCCCTTCTGCAGAAAGCGCCAACAGAGAAAAACATACACATAATCTGCGGCGGCGACACAGACGTCTGCTGCAACGAAGGCGAGCGCCCGAGGTACAGACTAATCATCTTGTCCCAGAAATAGCAACTCCAAAACAGCCGGTGGCGGATCTCGACATCTTCGTCCGCGAGCTGCACGGAACCGGGGTACCGCTGCCCGTCGACGCAGATGCCGAGGTGGTCGATGATGCGGAACGCGAGGCCGCTGTACGTCCAGGCCTGGGCGCTGTTGCCCACGCTGCACTCCTGCGCGCTGAGGAGCAGGAGTGTCTGGACGGTGGGGATGGAGCAGACGCCCTGGCTGAGCTCCTCGAAGACCATGCTGCGCGCGTGCTTGCCGAAGAGGGCGCCGCCGTCGTAGAACTCGTCGAGCCTGTCTTTTGTGGCCGGGTCGCTTCGGCCCCAGCGGATGGAGTGGGAGAGGACTGCGTTCATGAGGGTGTGGGAGTAGTATGGTCCTAATGTCTGCATGTCACCTGGTAGAGATGTTCAGTTTGGAAATGCCAGGAGAAGAGTCAGGGGTTGTCCTCACGAGTAAAGGCAGGTCTGTAGATGAAGTTGAAGAGAGGTTGGATCCAGCACCAGTGAACATTTAGCAGATATTGGAACGGTTCCTAGGTAAGGATCAGATCAGCTCACACGCCACTTTTCCGCGGGTAGTTGACCGGAGGTTGGAGGAGGAAGAGCATACCGGTATATCGGACATGTTCTCGAGCGCCCTCTGCTGCCAGGCGTTGGCTACAAGCCTCTCACGCCTTTGCATGGCCTGGTCAGATGTCGACTGCTGGTCCCTCGAGCCAGACGGCCTATCGCTCGGCAGCTGGAAGAAGCTCGTGGAGCCATGATACGTGATGGCGCCCTTGTCGTCGACCTTGAGGCCCTTGAAGCTCTCGCTCACAGACTCTTCATCCTGCGACTCAAAGTGGTGAGGATCCGTCATGGGCGACTGGCCCGCTGACGGCCCGACGCTAGGCGATGATGTCCGGGAGGGTTCTGAGGGTCCTGCTCCCGCTCCCGCTCCGGATGGTGCGTGAGCTCTCGCGGCGGCAAGCTGTGCTTCTAGTTCCTTTATGCGATGCTCCAGCCGTGATGTGTATGACAACGTTGGGTTACTTTTTCATCCGACATGGTCAGTATATTCCACAAGAGTCGCCGGGATGTAGGGGGAATATGAGTTATCCCAGGCTGCAGGTGAGATCAGGGGCTTAGCAAAGGGGAAAACTCACAGTTTATAGACGCACTCATCCGCGCGGGCAGCACACCGATTACACGTCGGCTGCTCTCCGCCACATTTTACCTGCCGTCAATCACCGGGTCAGCATCAACTCAGGCCGTCATGCTCCGATTCGTTCGCGCCGCCGCCGTGCCGGAAGTTGTGCATGATGTCCGTCACCCGGATTCGCTCTTCCCCCCGCCCTTCCGTGCCGTGATGCCGCCGTCCCACACCCATTCGCACCCAACCCCGTCCTCTTGGGAGTCGATCCCCCCGGCCATGTCGTGTATCTCAAGCCTTGGTTACCTCAGGCAGGATCATCAAACATTGCCTGAGCCTCCGCTACCCTCCGCGGATCCGAGTGGTGGGCAGGGGTATGGGTTGTGGCGCGGAATGCGGGAAATGAGGCGCACCACGGCGGAGGGGTGGTGGTGGTGCGGCGTGCCGAAAGAGAGACAGACAAGTGGGGGATAAGAGAAAGGACTCAAAAAGAGCGCGCAAGAAGAATACAGAAACACAAAGAGAAGGAAACGGAATTAAACGTACCTTGCGACGACGACATGGTTCGCACGAAAAGGCGCTCTTCTTGATGGCCCTCGTGGAGGACATGGTGATGTTCCATGGGCTAATTTTCTGCCTTGCCCTCTCTGCTGTTTGCGCCTGGTCTGAGGTGGTTCCCTCCCCGAAGTTGATGCGGGACGGAAGAAAGTTGAACTTTGGGCCCTTGTTGTGGAGAAGGGGAATAGCAAGATCGGGCTGGACCTATGTGTCTGTGGTCTGCTTGAGCCTTGTTGGCGTTGCTCCTCTTCCCAACGGATATGTGCGCTTGCAATTGACCATTTCGACTGCGACGGGACCGTAAGGTGACTTGGGGGGCGCTTCGGCCGGGTCGGGAAAGTCGGGAATCGCGGGACCGGGCCCCACTCTTCAGCACCTTCTCTGCTAATTTTCCGCCCTAAGGCCAACTGTGACGCGCCTGAGACGTCCCATGAGCGAATTAGAATCCACCGCGATAATCTTTTGGCCAATCGATAGCCTCAGCCTCGTTGATTGGGGCCCACTACTTCCTCTTGGTCAGCGGCTTTCCCCGATACGTCTCTCCGATGATCGCCCCACTACGAAGAGTGGATATCGTTCACCGAGATTCGGTCAGGCTCTCTCCACCTTCCAAGGTGTAGGTGCCGTTCACCGAGACACCGAAACACCAAGAGACTTCCAACACACCCTCCTTGCATTCCCAACCTCTAAATGCACTTCCCACTTCCTACTTCCTACTTCACTTTCTCAGTCTTGTGAGATGCGCAATCAATCAAAGTGAGGCCTTCCATCTTCGCAGACATGGCAGCAAAGGCTAGGGTCCAGACAGCCGGGCACGCCAAGCCCTTGCTGCGCCGTAAGATTGCAGCAGAGACTTGACCTCAAAGGGGACGGGTCTCCGGACCTCTCTCCTTCTTGATCGAGACTCGGCTGAAAAAGCATGAGCTTCGCATAAATACAAACCTCACAACCCGCTATCAAGATGAGCAGAGTTCAATCGTCGTCTCCCAAAGACACATTCGACCGCTGCACAAACCCACCGTAGACCACATCATTGCCAACCCATGACCAGTTTCGAGACCCCTGTAAACGCATCACAGTTTCGCAATGGCCACCTCGACGATAACCTCGTCTCCCACGCGCTCCCCGCCCTGGTCAGCTACTCCGGCCCGCGAGTGCCTCATTCCCCGCGAAACAATCAGCTGGAACAACTATTGCGGTTTCTACGCGACTTCATGGGGCGGGTGCCCTTCTGGCTACGCGCCGGCTTGCAGTACGGCCGTGGACACAGCCAACCCCTTTGTATCGAAGCGGACGGTCACCGACGGAGGCCAGGCAACCTTGACATATGAGTGGTGGCTGAAGAGCCACTCCCAAGTGATATGCTGTCCAGGGTAAGAGAAGCGCGCCCTTTTGCGAAGGATAGAGATACTCAAGCACGCATTAATCCACGATTTTCTTTTTTTTTAACCCAAAACGCACCTACTAGCACACTGCCTTGGTCATGTACAGCGGGAGCAAACTGCATCTTGACCACGACGGCCGGCTTCCTCGCCTCCGACCCGGCCCAGACCTCGCCATCTCCGATCTACGCCTACGGCATCACATACTCTGTGGAAGTACGCGAGTCCGTGGCATCCACCAAGAGACTGGCCAATTACGAAACATCGTACTATGGAGACGGGAAACCTGTCAGCGAGGCCTGCGATGAAAGTTCCTGCCTCGGGGCGTTCACGGCGCCAGAGTCGAGGAACATCTATCCCTACGCGTCCCCGACGACCACGCGCGGGGATGCAGCAGCTACGGACGGGCCGTTCGTCTTGCAGCCGCCGGAGAAGATGGGACAGCTCGGCCCACTGGCCGTTGTTGCGATCACGGGGTTGTTGGGGGCCGTGCTGCTGACGATCGCGCTCTTGTCTCCGTTCATGGGTGAGTATTTTCGCCGCAAGGAGGGGCAGAAGCAGTCGCGAACGATAAATAGCCAGTAGAAATATCAATTGTTTTTCTGAAGTCACATAATGGACATAGTAAGAGCGGGGCATTCGGTGGCCACAGTGGTTGTGGAATTCTTAATTAATGGTATCTTGTTTCATGCTGATGGGTATCTCTTCATGTGGTTTTTCTCAAGCAAAAAATGCAATGGGCTCCAAATGTCAGTACCTCTCTACCTTGTCCCAGAAATGCAAATCCAGTAGTCCAGTCCCTGTGCTCTTAACGCCTCGCCATAAAGACCGCTCAAAAGCGCAGAATAACAATCGAAACGCCGGACGATGCTTTGATGCATTACACCTGCATCATCTCACTTTCATATCGTGTCCTCTCGTTGGTAAATTCGAACCAGGCTCGCGCGAGCAGACCAAACTCGGACATCCTGGTGGAGAGGTTAGCATCAATGAACCGTATGATGACTGGGAGTGAAATGATGGTGGGGCAAGGTATGAAGTGAGGGTGAAAGCAAGATGAGGCTAGGGTGAGAATGAGGGTTGGAGTGAGATGGGGAGTGAGTGTGAAAGTGAGAGTGAAGATGTCGGATGAAAGGTGGCTCGACTTACATGATGAGTCCCAGCAGGAACGCCAGAGCAGCCTCGTACTGAATGTACGGATACGCGTAGTACCCGTTGGACTTCTTCGACTCGATCTGGATAACGAGCAGAATCCAGCAAATGGTGGTGCCCAGCGTGAAACACAACTCCATGCCAAAATGAAAATGCTTCGGGATGCCGCCACGGTAGGCGTCCCTCTTGCGCCAGATGACGGTGATGAGTGACCAAATGAGAAGAATACATGACTACGAGATGGTCAGCTGAGTCTCAGATATCGCGACATCTCACGCGTCGATTTTTCACTACAAGCCCAGGGACAGGAACTTACAATCGGTACAGACAACCACAAGCTGTAGAAAATAGGATCCGCCGGACTCGTCGAATCATTCAGATACTTGCCCCTCCGCGAGCAGTAAATGTTGATATTCAAAAAGATGACGACCAAAGGAACAATGATGGCGAGCTGGCGAAGGACGTAGTACATGTACGTGCACCGCCTCCTCTTGCGGTTGAAGCGCTCGTTCTCGGGCGATTTGGCGCTGCCGCTGGATCGACAACTTCGGCCGCCGCCGGGTTGTTGGCCGTACCAGTACTGCTGTTGATGTTGCGAGATGCTCCGCGACGAGATCGATGCGGCGTCGTCGTTGTTGTAGTAGTATACTTGGGTGACCTGCTCGTCGTTTCCGTACATTTGGCCTCCTGGCGGTTGGTTGTATCCCTGGCTGTAGGGCGGCGCTGAGTAGCCTTGGTGGGTGTAGGCGCCGTTTTGGAGAGACATGGCGGGCGAACTGCGTTTCGGTGGTGTATGGATGGATGGCTCTGTAGGTTTTTCCCCTTTTCCTCTAATCCCTTTCTTTTACTCCGTCTCTAGTTCCCTCCTCGGTGTTGCTGAGAAGTCGTCTTTTGGTATCTCCTTCAATATGTGTGGACCTCCAAGCGCAGAATCAACACCACATGCCACAGCTTGTTGGCGCAGGCATGAGTGGACTTTTATGGGGACACGAGTGAGTGAGTGAGTGGTGTGTGAGTGAGCGGCTGGGTGGACGTCTGGAAAAGGCTCCGAGTGGGCACGGAAGGAAAGGCGAAAAGGCTGAAGAACCGGATACCGAAAAGAGCTCACACGCCGGAATATGTACGGCGGGCTTCAGCGACCCTTTTAGTCTTTCCAAGGGCGTGGGTGTGTGCGAAAGAGTTAATGAAGGATATGAGAGGAAAAAAGCCCAGAGACCGCCGAGATGCTCTAATTGCGCCTGACCCTCTCCCAAGAAAAGACCGAGAAAAACTCAAAACGAGAGGGCGCGAAAATGAGAGTCAAGACTTCAAGGAGGAGGGAAATTGGGGGCCAGCAGAAAAGAATACGGTGCTGTGTGGCCTGGCGAAAAGCCTGGGCACTCGGCCTGGGCAGCAGCAGAGAGGAACAAGGAGAATTAGAATTTACTCCTGTACGAAAAATACACACACCCAAGCACACATGAGAGTCTTGGCAGTCTGGCACTCTGTACTCTGTGAGAGACTGGAGAGGTCTCAAATGTGCTGCTCGCCAAGTCGCGCTATCAGCTCACTGACTCCAGAATTGGCCACAGAGGCCGTCTTGGCCCGCCTAGGCTCGTAGGGGTGAGGAGAATACCCATTCACATTTCACGATGCTGTTGTCTTGGCGGTCTTGGCCCCTGGGCGACTGTTCCTTGGAGCTTGGGGGGAGGCCTTGGAGGGGCGTGTCCCAGCTTGAGATTTACTTCGTTCAGTTCCATCCCTTGGCACACAGAGCGAAGGGGAACTTTGCCAAGACATTGCCAGCAGAACAGAGCGGCGAGCCACATGTTGGAGCGTCTTGGGGGGGTCCTGGGATGAAGCAGCAGCGCCTGTCAGCCTGCCACAGGCTGTTTGTTCGGTTATAATTGTCGGGATAAGGGGGGGCGGTTGTGCTCTTGGGAGATGTTACAGCCAAACCCGCCAAGAGGACTGCGGCCTGCCGCTCTCCCACCAAACAGAATTCTCAGACTGACAGGGCAGACTCTAGCTAGGGCTCCCAAAGACTCGCAGGTCCGCAGGCGCAGAGAGGGAACGGTGAAGGAGTGACACGCGCTGGCCCAGCCACCTAGCCTCCTGGGCAGCTCGTTGAGCCGGCGCTATAGGTCTTGTGGTGTCTTGGTAGTTGAGGTTATCAGTATTCCGTAATTTGGTAGCACAGCGGAACCGTACCTAGCACCATAGCACAGGCGCCTCAAATATCGAGTCTAGTGATGCTGAGCACTGCAGGCAGAGCTCTCGCTGCCAAGGGACTTGGTGTCTCTTGGGAATTCTTGTCTCGGACGCAATAGTCTGACTTGTCGTACAGTGATAAGGTGGCAGTCGAGTGGTGAGATTTCGCCATGCCTTTTGGCGCGCCTGTCCGACTCGGCATACCTCAGCAGCGCCGTGACCGGTCCAATTTCCCATCCCGCCGTGCCAATTGCCATAAAAGTCTCCTGTCCTCCACCAAGCTCCTGGGCAGCACGGGAAGAAGTCTCAAGAAACATTACCGTTCGTCACTTCGTGATGTGGGAGATTGGCGTTTAGTCATGGATCGCAAGGGTTTGGTGGTACAGAAAGGATCATCAAAGTTCTGGGCGGGCACTTTTGGCGGCGCAAACGGCCCTGGGCTCTTGGAAGGGCACATCCATCCATCTATCCCATGGGGCCCTTTTCCCTTCCATCCTGTTGGCCATCATCGATAGACAATGCGCCCTGCAACCGTCGTGCAGCTTTGCTCCATCTCAGCGCGTACGAGTACCGAGACATTTGCTTTTTTCGCCTGTTTGCAGCAACGGTTCACTCAACGACGCGGGCGTTCGAGACTGAGCTGTCAAGAGTGAGATCGAGACCGAAAGGCTCGTCGCTGTGTCTTTCCCGCTTCTCATCTTCATTACTGGAATGGCAAGATAGCGGGAAGGATATGAGATGCCACAGCAAAGAAGTTGACGAAAAGCAACCATCACGCATTTGAGTTTCCATCTATCGATACCAAGTCGCTGCCAAGTCGAGAAAAGTAAAAAGATGAAATCAACGAAAAGCAAAGAGCAAAGGTTCCCCAGGAACTCTCGTCTGGATTTCCAGGGTTCAATTCAGGGGGGGTTTGGGGAGGATCATTGGCACTGGGCATCCACGCAATCCCTCATTTCCTTTCCCCAAACCTTGCAAAGTTGCCCCGAATTGCTGCTTGAAAGGTTGGCTCAATGATCTATCGCGCCAGCCAACAGTGACTGTGCACGACCCAGACACCAAGGAAACATGAAGTATGGCTTTCTTGGCATGCCAAGCCATCACGGCAAACCGCGACTCAGGTCAACTCACTCTCACTCTGAGTCTTCATTCACTCACTCACTCACTCAGACCAGTTCGCCTCATTCAAACTTCAATGTCGCCTTTGCCCGTGCCAGCGCTGATCTTCTTGACCGCTTGGCACGGCACGGCAAGCAGGCCACGCCAGGAAAATGACGAGCTTGAAGCCAATCCCCCAGAAGGTAGTATGAGATTGAGGATCATCTCGATAAACTTCCACCGCCATGCCCGCGGGCGCGCTCACCTGATCATTTCCATAGTCTGCGATACCCCACGAGTAAGACACAGTGACTCAAATTTTCTCCAGGTGATGCTCCGGGGGATCGTCGTCGGTTGCTCGACCGTCAACGTCGTTCAAAGACTAGAACGACCAATTGTCCAATACTAAGAGCGATCTGCGGCTGGGCCCGTACGACGGTCTTCAGTAGCTCCGACGAACCTTGAAAGCGTGAAAGCGGTCTCGAACTCTCGAGTGGTACCGTGTAGTCTTGGTGTTTGGCTATCAGGTATACTAGGTGTTGATGCCACGGCTGGGCTTCTTCTTGACCGAACCACAATCAGTCACGTATAGTTCTTGACAATCTCATCAATGGCGCGGGCGGCCTGCCTTGGTGTTTTCCTGGTGCCAACCCCCCCCCCCCCACCTTCAACTTCGCATGGTACCGGTTACGCCGCGCTACGTCGTTTGCCTTGCCCAGAGCGTTGGCGGTGCTTCGGCCAAGGCTGCTCGTCCCACGCAAGGGGATGTAAAAAGGGCGATGGAACAAATGGAAATACCAATGCTGGGCGCGCACGCACGCACGCAGTAATCGTCGCGGCCGAGTCGGCCAGGTTGGCGGCTTGGCGTTTCTGTGGAGGGGCAGCGCAGCCCTTTTTCACTTTTCACTTTTTTCTGATTTATTTATTCTCTTGGCGGCGCTCATGTCTTGGCATCGCAGTGACCGTGCCGAGTCGGAGATTTCCGTACCTCGTTGCCGGTACCTACCCAGGTCCGAATGTGATTTATTCTTCAGTCTTTTGATACAATGCATTTGCGGCTCAATTGCCGATGGTGAAAATCTTGGAAACGGCATAAATATCCGGTGTGCAAACTTACTTACAGTACGGTCGTTGGTACCGGTCTAGGTTGGATCTCACACTTTGAGACCTCCAAGAATCTTTTCCCCAGAACTCTCGGGTTCCACCACTTCCTGGGCGTTTGAAGGTCATGCGGCTAGCAGCGGCATTGGCATCAGACTGCTTTCTGATTTCATATTGCTTCAAGAAGACGGCAAATGGTGAGTTCAATAAGTAATAAGTCGTACACCATGATGCAACGCGGATGTCTTCGTATTCTTCAGAAGGGCACAATGAAAGTACTGTTTTCCTGCCCGTATGGGTGATGTGTCTGTTGGAAGAGCCCCTGTGAGAAATAAACAAGAAACCCATAGTCAATATGTCTGGTGGAATTCCGGATTAGCAATGAGGCGTGAAAATGTTGTGTTCAGCCATCCAGTCGCTCTTCTACCTATCTATACATCATTGTGGCAATGGTCTCATTGACACGCATCTGTCGTTTTTTCTATTTGACCTCCTCGACGGCGCCTGCAGAAGCCCTGTCGGGAATAGGCCCCGAGTGCAAGCTGGCCTGTTCATCACGCCATCTAAAAACGAAGACTCGGAAGAACTGTCGGATGTCAGGCGCGCAGGCCGTGAAAACACCCACGCCTATCTCAATTATCGACCACGTAGAGATTGGTAGCAGGTTTACTGATGCAATCCGGCCGTGTGAGTAAGAGCGAACTGCCAGGCGTCAAACTTGATGGAGGCTTTGAGGCTTACCTGTAAAATTGTACGCTCCTGGATGGTCTTCAGTGAGGAGTCTCAATCTAAATGAACTGGCGGCTGTAAGACTGCGATAAGACATAAAGTCAAGTCGTTAGACAGTTCCTGATATCTGGTCGGGGTTGACCTTGAAGAGGACTCACAAGAGACCTAAGCTGAATGTAGCCATCAGGCTAGACTTTTTGTCCCATTTTAGATTTAGGCTTTGGATTTGTCCAAATATCTAGTCCAACTCGAATGGCACCATAGCTATTCCGATGTCGACGATGTTCATACATTTCCCCTCGCTTTGAGAGTCTTGTCTCCAAATCGTCCAAGCAAGGTGAACGGGGGTACATTGAAAGATGCCGAGGAAGAAGAATATTACACCAATGATCAAGTTGAATGCTTGCGTTGCCCAGAGTGCGATGCTCAGCCGCTCAAAAGGGAATATTCGCTGATAGAGGAAAAGGACGGATGCCTTTAGTAGGGTTATCGTGTAGTGTTAAAGGGTTTGCATCATGTACTATCCCTATAGATGGACTCTTTAGGCACTATATTGAATGCCAGAAACAATTATGAAGCTACTTACTTTGAAGTAGTTGGTGATTTGATCGGCAGTCAACGACCACATGTTTTAACCAGCGCCGTTCCTGCCCTCTAGGGTAGAGGATCAGCCATCAAGAACACTCGCGCGATCCGGAACGACTATTCTATCAAGCAAGTGCAGATCGACCTACCGTACACATTCATCGGTACGAAAGCTATGAGAAATGTCTATGTTCCGTCAGCCAGATTGCCCAAATAAGTTGATCAAGCTCACACTCACATATGTTGCCAGGATCATCCAATCATCAGGTCCCCACGCAGAAACACCTGCAACCTTGACTGCCACTCGCATAAAGATTGGCAGAGAAGCCAGCACGAAGAAGACCGCTAAGGTAAGGACTTGTATTGAAACATAATCATTGACTTCTGGAAGCCCACATGCTGTCCAAGTATAGTTCTGGGCGGCTAATGAGACCTGGTTGACTCGTAGCTCGCACCACCGCATGGAACATGAAGTCTTCCGTACTTACCTACAGCATCAGCTGGCAAGCAGTTACTCGTAACGCGAGCATCCATGAAACTCATGTATTCAGTGTCATTACATAGACATGGGTGGTTTGCCGTGAAACAAGATGAGATGCTCAAGCCTTGAACGAGGCATGATTGCTGCGGTTGGGTATCCCGTTAGTCATAGGGGAAGGAGTCTCAAATTTAGATGGTTTGGCATATAGGGCATGATGGAAGTTTATCAATCGACGGTGCCTGAGCTGCTACCACTCCGGAAAGGAGGAGAAGATACCACGGTAGCATGCGAAGTGGATGCATCGCGATCAAAGATATAGTCCCTCAAAGGTGAAGCTCCTGATATGGCCAGTGAACCCCGTCCGCCAAGCGAGAGACAAGAATCCAACGGATCATTTGCAGGTATAAGCGGCCAAGGATATTGTGTTTAGTCGGGTTGAGTTACGGCTTGCAGTACTAGGGTTGTCAATGATGGGCGAGGTGGCTTGGGGTTGATTACCATGGTCGTGTTGTTGCGATTAGCAATTTGTTCGACGCGCCGATCGCTCACAGTTCCTGGCCGGGCCATTGGGATATCTCATAAAGTTGGCATGCGAGGTGGCTTGCACTCGCATAATTCTCTGAAAGAAATCCATCCTGAGAAACCGGAGAAGGTCTAGCGTTGTTAATTTGCAGTATAGTATCGTGTTATCTGTTTCCGGTGGGCACGTTCTCATTGTATTTTGGGCATAGACTCGTCCGGATTAGCGATGTGCCGATGACCTTGTTGTTGTCTTGACTTTCTTGATCAAAGAGGACCCGAAAGTGCGGTTCAGCTAGGGCTCAAACTACAGACCAATACTTAGCATCAAACTCATCACCAAGTTGCAGATTGTCCTTGCCACCTTCAGGGTTCCGTCTCGGATTGCTCCGGGCGTGGCCCACTTTCACCGAGTTTGTCCATCGGACCCGGTCCCCAATCTCCGGCCGATTCAGACTTAGAATGGGTTCTCCGACTGCGCCGTTTGGGGATTTCCTATCCAAGTCGTTGAAAGCCAATTTTCCGAACGCCTTCATGTGAGGTGACTTATGTCCCTCGTTCCATAGTCAAAAACGAAGAAGGCCATTGCCAAGACTACAGCCCAGCCGCCTTTGTCACCCCAATTCGCAACGGCCATCTGAGAACATTGTTGACCAAGACTGTACGGCTATTTTGCGTTTACTTTTCAACGGAGGCCCTGCTCATCTTCAACAGTTGCCATGCCTCAGCCAACATCGATTGCTTTCATGTTTCGATTCGTTGGCCTACTCTCTTGCGCATCACAACACCGCCGCGGAACAAGCCCCTGAGAAACATTGACGTCAGCCAACCGGTCCAGCTGCCGTAAAGTCTTGGTAGGGAACCAGAGCTGACGCACGCAGTGGAGTCGCGCGGTCCAGCACTGCCGCAAGGCCCAACGATGGACCCCTGAGAGTTGTCTTGTCAGCAACTGACAACAAACTCTGGGGCCCTGTTTTCTCCAACTTTAACGCTTCCCGTCCCGTCCGCTGTGCTAAAGACGCGCCGTCTCCAACTACCCCTCACACCATCTTCTCAGTTCATCTCATCTCGTCTCATCTCATCAGCCGCTATATTCATAGGATTTACGAGGTTTTAAAGGTCTTGTCAAGGCTGAAGGTCTAAAGAGAAGCCATTCACTCGCCTCCCATGGGATCCTGCTGTTCGACATCCGACGACTCGTCACAACACGAACTCCAACAAGCACGCCCCGCCCCGCCGCCTCAAAACCAGAACAACATGCCGCCGCCGCGCGACCACATCGTCACGCTCGAGAAGAAATGGGGCTACCACGCCATTGACGGGTATGAACTAAACAACAACACTTGGGGCCTCGAAAGTGCGACGTCGGGCTCACAGCGCACGCACTACGATGGCCCCAGCCCGCCCGGCGCGTCGGGCGCCCAGGGTATTTCCTGGTCGACGGACTGGGAGTGGCAGGGCGGCGAGCACAACGTCAAGTCATACGTCTACGGCGCGAGGCAGTTCCAGCGCCGGCTCTTGAGTGAGATCCAGGCGCTGCCGACGGAGGCCGAGTGGCATTACAGCACGTGGGATGTAAGGGCCAATGTGGCGTTTGATATCTTTACGGATCCCGATAAAGACCACGCCAACAGCAGCGGAGAATTCGAGGTTATGATCTGGTGAGTTTGATGATTGGTGTCTGAATGTGGTCAACCCGCTGATAAGTGAATGTGTAGGTTGGCAAAGTTGGGCGGTGTGTGGCCCATCAGTGAGTCCAAGGCGCCCATCGCGCATGTCGAGATCTGCGGGCATCAGTGGGAGGTTCATTTTGGTTACAACCACGGCGGCGCGATGAAGGTGTACAGCTTCCTGCCCGTCAATGGCCCCATTCAGCACTTCAGCGCCGACGCGAAGCAGTTTTTCAACTTCCTGAGCCACCATTTCCAGTTCCCCCAACACAACCAGTACATGCTCGGTAAGTCTCTTCCCCATCCTACCTGTTGGGCCACTCGAACTCCAGGCTAACTGAATGGCCAGTTTACCAGCTCGGTACGGAGGCCTTCACCGGCGGTCCTGCACAATTCGTTGTGCCCAAGTTCATTGCCGATGTCATCTAGGTATAGGCACTAAGATACGGCCCATGATATTTGCTGCTTCATGATACCAGAAAGAATCCGTCATTAGACACGTATGCCTTGAAAGGAGGCACTCCATGCTTCTATAGTCTATAGTAGTAATACACATACAGTACAGTTTGAGGGAAGATGATTTAGCAACGTCTTCAAGGGTAACACGCAACACAGTGGTCAACACCGGCAGTTACCAACAGCCTAGCGTACTGCCGATGCAAGAACACCGCGGGCCCAGGTAGCGGAGCATCATTACCGTCGCTCACCCCGTTGAGAAGTATTGACTTGAGCTTGAAGCTAACGACTCGGGCCTGTCGGTCGAGGTCCGCACCTAGGCTTATGATACTGTCCAACTCGCGTGGGCCATCAGGCGCTACCCTGGGGGAGAGCCCACCCCGCAGCAAGATGCTGCTTGGAGACTTTTCGATGACAATGAAGTCGTCAGCAAAAGCCGTGCCTATTCAAGTCAGTGAGGGGAACATTAGAATATGGGCAAGACGCATGGCCAATATCGGGAATGAGACGTACCGACGGGGTAAGTGCTCTTTAATAGCTCCTCTTTCTCCCAGAGGTCCCCTGCGTTCGACTCGTCTTTACGGGCCATCTCCATGATTTTGCGTTGAATATTGAATGCTTGTGTATCAAAGTCAGTTCCTTGCCATATCGCCCTCACCGCTACAGGCACATGCTCACCATATCGTCCCCAGACACCAGCAGAATACGTCTCCACAAGCTTTGAGCCTCCACTAAGCGCGTCCTCAACAAGATCCGGCCGCAACTTGTCAAATGGAACTGTGCGGTAACAGCAGTCGTGAAAGTCGGGATTGTTGTTTGGATTAACCTTTTTAAGAAGGGAGTGTTGGAAGAGGGGGTCGTTGGCCGGGGTGAAAGTGTCGTCGAACGCGCACTGACGCGTCCAGAGGTGAAAACCAGCGGCGCCTGTGATGGTGGCACCTGCGGCGAACTTGGAAAAGGTCGCTAACCTGGCCTTTGAGAAGAAGGAAGCCATCAAGACGCGATTCAATCAGGAGTTGGAATGAATGAAGTTGACTTGACAATGCAAAACATGCAAGATGAATTAGATGGATGGGAGGGGGGGGCTACAAAATGGGGATCGTGACATTAAAGTCAATTCCTACGATCCAGGTACGCGGTAGAAATCCAGAACCCTTTCTCCGGGTCGATCCGTCCCATAACCCCGGAGGACAATTCTCTTCAAGTTTGGATCGGACTTCTTACCTCATTTCTAAGGGGTCTCGCGCTTTCGGCTTTCGGAATTCGGATCTGCCCAAGGGGGACACTTTTCTCTCACTGTTCACTAAACCAGAAGAGCGCTACTCTACCGACGGGAGACCCACTCGGGCTCCGAGTCCGCCGGGGTTTCCGAGGGCGCCGAATGTTACCGGCGGATGTCGAATGACGCCGAACGATCGGACCCGTCAAATAACCAGATCTACCGCCTTATCGTTTAGAAACTTCACGATAGAAGAGCCGCATTCTCTATTTTATAAAGTTGTCAAGTGTGGGTCTCTGGCTTCAATTGTTGCAATTCTTCCACAGTCGTACAGACAGTCTTGCTAATGACATGTAACTACACCATGTCCCTTACTTGAAAGTTCAGGGGCTCAAGGGCGAGTCACATCCTAACGAGCATTCACAATAGAGACTCAACATGTATCCAATGCTTTGTGTAACCTTTCTACAATGACAACTCTTGCGCCGGTGGTTTCCCCTCGCCAAACGCCCATGTCTGAGTCTGACCACCAGCGCTGTTTGCCAACCGGTTAACAACCAGTCACATGGGCTCGTGTGGCTCGCAAGTCAGTCTTAAATTCGGAATCAATCGATTCGGTATGAGTATGCAAAGATGACATTTTCCGGCAAATAGTGAGACCAGCTATTTAAGCAAAGACTGCCAACAATGTCCATGGAGCCTGCATATTGCTATCTTGTCATCAAACCAAGAAACGATTTCAATTGAACTGCTATTACACTTCACAGAAACCAATACAACTCCAACACGGAACTTCAACATTCCGAAGATTCTCACAAATTGACTAGAAAGCAGTTGGCCTAGGATGCCTGGCTATGCGACGATCTGCCCGAGATGCGGCAGTCCCTCATTTAAGCGGGGCATCTGCGAGCATTGTGGCAAGACTGGACTACCAGATAACTTACCAAGTAGCGCAGATTGAAGTCAATCGTTCCTTTGATACTTCCGACCACTTTCGTCAGAATATCATAAGTGATGGGACGAGAATAGGCTTAGGCGTGAAGACGAATTAGTGGACATCGTGGTCGCTGCAGAGAGTGATTACCTAGAGGAAGGTTATCTATTGAGCAAGATAGCCCGGCAGCCCTAGTTTTACCAGTCAGGATTAGATGCAATAGAGCAACATGTTCTTACTAATAGTGATGAGCAACTGTATTCTTCGTGCTTGATCAGAGAGACAGAAATTGAGCTATCGAGAGTTTGGCATCAAGCATTGAGACCGCCCAGAAGGCACGGCTAGGCAAATTGGCCTGGTAATTATACAAGCCGTGGACAACCATGGACATATGATTTCGATGATGGTCTATACTGGCGAAGAGATATACTTTGTATCTTTGATAACTCAGGCGTTGACCATACATGTATGGCGCGCACTTTTTATCCGTAGACCGTCATGCCTCTGCATGTTCTCAACATATCTGCATGGTACTTTTCCAAAGGCTGTGAATCTGCATGCTGACATGCAATGCTGCCCAGCACAAGCGGGGATGCACCACGTGATGCATGCACCGTCACGAGACGGTCAGCCGTGTGAGAGACTTTTCGGGTCACCAAAATCATAGGGAAGCTGTCGAAAAGCATGAGACTCCAGATCAAGTCAAAACAACTGTTATTACAAACCTACATGTACTCAATAGCATACTTCGCGACGGTGACAGAACCCTCGTCTGGCAGCTTGATACAAGATGGAGGCCGACCAGTTGGTCGTCAGACTCGACGATTTGAGGGCCATCGCCGATGCCACCTTTCGATTGACCTTTAGCTTCACCAAAAGCGACAGCAAGTTGAAACCGGAGATCCGAGCCGTTGCCAACGAAATACAAGACATCGCGGGCTTGTTGCATCGACTTTCTCTGTTAGCATCAGGACTTGAAGAGACTAAGGACCATGATTCGGACATCAATGCTGCCCCGCCCCCACTGATCTCATGTCGCACCACCTTAGAACAACTAGGGGGATCGCTAAGGAGACGAACAAATAGATCGGACGACGACGGATGCGAACAGAAAAGGTATGCCGATGTCAAGTGGCCATTTACGAGGGCCTGGACAACAGATCTCCTGAATGAACTGAGTGAGCACAAGAAGACAATTTCAGAAGGATTGAATGGAGAATCAATCAAACATCTGTTGCAGTTACTATCAAAAGGGAAGTCTGTGGCAACCATACGTGACGAAGCCTGGATATCCGAAGTTTTCACCGACTTTCTCCAATCCTCTGGGTATTTCCAAGGCATCTATATGGTCCTCAATACCTTTCTACGCGCCCGAGAAGATTCATACATCAAGATACAAGATCGATACAAACACTTGTCAATACAGTCGAGCTTTTTCCAAGGAGAAGACTTCGAAAATTGGCTTGATAAGGGAGGATCACACCTTCTCTTCACAGCTCCTCCGGGCGGGGGGAGAACCGCCTTCACCGGCGCACTAGCACGGGAAACCTTTCGGCGACGCCGTGCGCGAACTGTTGTTGTACCCATCTACTTTGAGCTTCTAAGTGGATGGACCAGATGGACCACGAATATGAACATACTTGGCACCATCGTTGCTCTGATCGCGCGCCAGAATCAGGGCGCGTTCGAAGTCTTACGCCGATATCGTCGCGACCTAAATATCCAACCGAGATGGGCAACAAACGGAGCGAGCATGGAAGGACTGAAAGGTGTTCTTTGGCAAATGTCAACTTTCTTTGAACATGTCTTGGTCATTGTAGACTGCTCAAAGTCTGGCGGAGATAGCATCATACCGATGATCGCCTCTTTGCTAAAGACTTCCAAAGAATCCGCACCGAACTTTAGTTTGGCAGTGGTTTGTCAAGGCCTTGAGTTTGTTCGGGAGTCTTTGGGCGAATCCGTCACTAAATGTGACATTGCACCATCCATGGCCATCTTGCAAGCTTTCGCTGCCACCGAGGTAGAAAGACGAGTCAGGACCGGGGCTCTGCGGTTCCAACGGACAGCAATGAAGGATGCTACGATCCGCAAACTCAGCGTTGGTGACGACCATGTGTAAGACAATGAAACACTCAAGAACCGTATAAGGCTAATAATCAAGACAGCTTCTGGAAGATCGCATATCAACTTGACCACCTCTGCTCCTTGCAGTCCCACTCTGAGCAGGTTGAGTTTCTGGAGAGGCTCCCATGCTCGCTGCACGACACCTACCGCTTAACGCTGGAAGAATTTCAAAAGCGGACGCCAGCATCTCGAAGCTTGATCCTCAAGGCTTTGCAACTGACGAAATGTTCGCGCCACGAACTAAGTGCCCAAGAGTTCTGCCAAGCCCTTTCAGTTTCAGGCATTTCCGGGCTAGATCCTGAGATGTTGGAATATCCGGAGGTGGACGAATCAGAGATTCTGCGACAATGCAGTCCTATGATCATAAGATCGCTGGATGGCAACAAGTTTGTGTTTGCGCACGACTCGATTGAAAGATTCCTTACACATAGATATATCGACGGATCCAGCGATTTGGCTGCATATCGTCTCACGACTTCCGGAACGAATCGGCTTCTTGCTACCTGTGCACTCAAGTTCCTGACCTTAGGTCACTTCGCTCGACTTCCAAGCTTATCGTTGTCAGAAGTGGATTACATAAGGACTAGGAACGAGAGATACCCCTTTTACAGGTTCGCCGCACTGACTTGGCACAAAATTGATGTCAGTCATTGGAAGGACCCGGAGTTGGTCGTGGAAGCCATGGCGCTTTTCGACCCCAAACAGACAACAAACTTCAAGGCTTGGTGTCTTGAGATCTGCCGCCAACACAGAATGAACGGCGACTGTGACAATTGGAGAGGGCGGAAAGACAGAGGCATAATCAGGAGGCCCCCATCTACCTGTTCAGAAACTACGGAAGTCAACTCTTCCGCCGCAACATGGTCGAACAAAGATTTAGGAGATAGTACTTCAGATACCCCACCTCATCTGGGATCATCATCCTCCGCAAGTCCTCCTCTGAGGAAGAAGATGTCCAAACGATCTTGGGCAGCAGGCCAGACAAGGCGCCTTGCACGTGTGCTAAGGCGAGGCGACTTTACTCCATTACACATGGCCGCTCTCCTGGGCATCGATGCCGTCTGCTCGGAGTTGATTCGAATTGGAGAAAATTACAATCGACCGAGCAAGATAGGGACCCCTTTGCAGTGTGCGATTGGAGGTACTTTACTCATAGGTGACCACGATATCCCGGCGGGCAATTCTCCATTGCCACCATGGCTCAGCCGACCACGTAAAAGCACTATTGAGCTGCTGATCAATGCGGGAGCGGATTGTACACGAGATTTGCCTAGTCAGACATACCCTTGGAGCACTGTCGGTGCTTTGGCCCTGAAGACCTCAGAATGGGCTAGGAATTCTGAAATCTTCGCGGTTGTCGTTAGAGGAGGTGCTCAGCTGCACGATGACATTATCGCTGTGTTCAGGTCGATCTGTCGCAAATGGTCAAAGCATAAAGATGCAGGAGCCAAGGAACATATTCAGGACATCTTAGAAATCTTAAACGGAATGGTTGAAAAGAAAGAGGGCGAATCGCTGGCTTATCTCAAAGCTTTCCAGAAGGCGGTTTCGGAAACCACTGACATCGACATACCATTGCCTGTCTCGCAAGGCATCTCCGATGACATGCTTGTCCAACAGATATGGAAATCAATCGACGATGACAACTTGAAAGCGATCGAGGATCAATCTCAAAGCAACACAAGAATTAAGGACCTCCTAAAAGGCGACATCTTGACGAAACTGCTCGACTTCGCTATCGCATGCTCAGCTGTCAACTGCTTGGACCACTTGCTCACAAATTACATGGCCGAAAACGGCCCAAATGATTGGAAAAGCAAAGCTGTGCTTTATTGCGTCGAAGATGGAAAGCAAGAAGTCCTCTTATGCTTATTGAAGGATGGTGCTCAAACCATGAGAGCCAATGCGAGAGGAAGCACCATTTGGCATCTCGCAGCTGCTAAAGCTACCTCAACTGGGATTCTCAAAATCTTACTTGAAAACAGTGACGAGGAAGAACGAAAAGATGCCTTGAGAATGTTGAATGAGAGTGGCCGTACCGTGCTTGCCAAAGCGCTAGTCAGCAAAAAGTACTCAAACGCCTCTATCATCCTCAAATACTGCGAAAAGGATCGTGCGTGCCTCAAGAGCAGACATCCATCACTACCTCACCTTGTGGCGGGTATTCAGGATAGCGTCTTACTCAAGGAGTTGCATGATTGCGAAATGTTCGAATTTGTGGCTAAAGACACGCCTCTCAATTACTTCCATGTAGAAGATTCAGCAGGTGTGGAAGCGACTCGCCAACTCCTGGAAATATTTCCCTACCCTTGTTCCGACCAGTCTCCAACACCCTTAAGGATATACCTGTCAAGATCCGACTTGAACATCTACAAGAAAGAACTTGTAACACTTCTTGTCCAGAAAGAGCTGTCTGCCGCACCTATCATCAACGGTATTCATACCTGGCAGTGGTTCTGCAAAAGCGTGCAGGGTTATTTCAGAAGAGCATCAGAAGCTGAGGCCTGGGAAGTTGTCGAACTTGTGAAGCTCATGGTCCATCTCGGTTGCATGGACGATTATGAAAAAGCTAGAGAAACATCTGGGCTGGTAGAGATCGTTCCTCTCTTTGATGTCGACTCAATGCCGAGGGCGTTTACACCTGACAACGACGCTGTACTTGCGACTGAAGAGATATTCGGCATTGTTCATGACACAACGACCTTACCTCAGTACTACAAAAGTAGTGGTATGGATATCAAGGTCATCAAGTGGACTATTGCTCACAATTCTTGGCACCTGTTTCGTCGTCTTATCCACACGGATATTGATGTTCATAAGAGGGACAGGAGAGGAAACTTGTTAGAGTACGTGTGCTCTCACGGTACCGAATTCAACGGTCATAGGATGCTCGCGAATCTTCTAGAACGAGCTGAGAAAGATCGTCTGAACGAGCTGAATCCCGACGAAAACCTTGGTCTCTTACACCTACTAGGAATGCCATATGGCAAGGAGGACTTATCTTCAGATAGTAGTCCCTTGTTCAGTCCTAGTTTTATCCCGATGGAGAATCTCAGTCAACCACAAGGTTCAGCTTGCCCAATGCGTTTAGGGCCGGGGGGATTCGCGGCATTGAGGATACCACGCGACAACCCAAAGTTTAGCATACTCCAACGACTGCTTGACGAGCACATGGATCGCCAGCTTCTCAGCAAAAGGGGTAATTTTTCAGCCTTGAGTACGCACATAAGATACTGTTATCTTGACACGGCACGCCTTTTACTTTTACGCGGATCACCAGAGACTCTCTCTACCTCTGACAACCTAGTTTGGGTGGACTCCTGTAGCGTGGGCATGCGCGCATGGCTACACGGATATCATCGGCCAGATGGCTGCATCCTCCTGTTCCGAATCTATTTGGGACTTCCAGGTTGAGGTGACATTGGGTGTTGAAGCAGCTCCCTCATTCACGAAGCCCTACCGTGGCCTCTGCGCTCTGCACCTTGCGGTACTTGCCTCGGCAAAGACTGTATCATTTCTGCTGAATCACGGTTTTGCCTCAGACCTTGACATCACTGATGCACAACTGCATACCCCTTTACACTTTGCCACAATGTTTGGGCAGCTGGAAACCATCAAAGAACTTGTTTCTCGGGGGTCAAATATCAACGCTAAGGACTGCGACGGATGGACCCCCTTGCACTTCGCAATCCATCTCGAGAAGAAAGACACTGTTGAGCTCCTTCTGGAGATCGGCGCGGCCCATATGGAGACGAAGAAAGGAGAAACGCCGCTCGATTTTGCTATGTCAAAGGAAGAATACTATACCAAACGAGTTCAAAGGTCCATCCAACAAAACCTGAAGACTGGCGCAGAAATTCACTGTGACAAGCAATGGCTGGCCTCTCTCTCTCGGACCATGAAAAAGGCCATCATTGACGGCGATACTAAAATTTGTAGAAGACTTCTTAAGGAAGGTTGCCCGGTGGACATTAAGATGAGATCTTGCCATACTTGCACAGCTCTCATTTTCGCTCTGTCACGTAATGAGGTGTCTGCAAACATCGTCGACACTCTGGTGGAACACGGAGCAAGTTTCCGTGGAACTACCTGTGCCCGCCATACGTGCGGAAATTTCAAGCGATACGGTATCCGCCATTTCAGCGACTACACTTCAGACAACTCCTCATCTTCCTCATCCTCCTCATCATCTGATAGTGATGATAACAAAAAGTACCGGCAGTATGCCTGGCCATCGTTTGGATCTACCAGTCTTGACATGCTCATGTGGGAGGATGATTTGTTCGAGAAAATTTCAACATGGCTATGCTCCGTTCCGGAAGAGGACATGATATGGCTCATTGACAATTCCATAGCCGTCCATGTAGCTGTGGATCGCGGCAGCCTCAAGGCTCTACAGGTTCTCTTATCTCAGGCTGCTAAGATCGGTGATGGTCTTCACAGAAACTTGGCTTATGAGCTTGTGAACAGGACTGGATGGCATTCTGGGCCCTACGTAGCCTCGCCTCTTCAGGACGCAGTCGATGCTTGCAACCTGGAGCTTGTCCGCCTTCTCCTCGAATATGGAGCAGAAGTTGACAAGAAAACCACAGCGAAGGGAACTGCCCTTCATCAAGCCGCGAATCAGGAAAGCATCGAGCTTGCACAACTTCTTTTAGAGCACGGGGCCTCGCTTGCATCCAGAGATTATAACCGTGGATTCACCCCTCTGGAAGAAGCAGTTCAGTCTGGCAACACCGAAATGGTGAACCTCTTTTTGGATCGTGGGGCATCTGTCAGATATCCTCAGTATGCTGACACATGTCTGGTTTGTGATTCGACGGAAACTGCAGTTCTGATGCTAAAATCAGGCATCCCTCTTCAAACGATTGGAAGGTATGGCGTACCCCTCTGGGCACCGGCGTGTCTGAAAATCCGGCTTGCGACCTTTATTTTCAACTCCGATTATGGCCATGCGATAGCATCCGAGGTGAATGCACCAAAGCTTTGGCAGATTCTATCCTACGCCTACTACGTTGGAGAGAGGGGTCGTGTCCGGCGATTTCTTCGTCTGCTGTGTCGGCGAAGTGGACACGGATCCATACAAGACATGACTGAGTCCGATGGAAAAGACAGCGAAAGATCATATGGCGTGTTGTGCCTCTTTGCTGATCTCGGACTTGTTGAAGAGGCCAAGTTGCTGCTAGACTTGGGTTGCAACATTGAGTTCGAGGGAGCTTCGACTGGCACTGCGCTAATGGCAGCAGCTCATGGGGGTCGGCTGGACGTAGTCAAAATGCTCGTCTATGCAGGAGCACGGATATGGTACGAGAAGGATGGATTAGGCAGGAGTGCAATAGTTGCAGCTCAGGATTTCCCAGAAATCGTAAGTTGGCTGTTGGTTGGAAAATTTACGGAGCAGGCGAAAATTGAGGTGGCCCCGCCTGGCTGGGTAACGGACCAACAAAGCGAGATTCGCCCCTGGAGCGGATATCGTCTTGGCAAGTTTTCTCTGTCAGGAAAATACGCTCGGCACTGGGGAGATTCGAGTTTGAGGTGGTTGTCGTGTTTGGAAAAGGCACGAAGGAACTTGCGGGGGAAAGTTGTCGTATCAAGGTCATGGAACAGAGAATACTCATAGGAAACGAGCGACAATAGGTAAACCTGAATGATTTTCAAGGATAAGAAACCGTCACATGCCAGGATTCGTCTGCCTTGCATCATGCAGTGCTCCCGAATCAATGTGGTAAAACACCAACAATGCATGCGGAAAAGACCTTAACTCGGATTAACCGGCTGACAGGTACGACACCGACAGCAGACAAAGGTACGTAAAATGGCGGCAAACTTTCCAAGACTGTAGCCAGTGCGCCTATAGTCGTTAGATCAACCGTGACAAGACCGTAAGTCCGGTCCAGCGGACTGTAAGTCCAGACTTCCAACGACTGTCATGCAGGTCGGTAAGAAGGAACGAATCTAACCCGATCGATCCTTGCAATTTTTTCAACTGCCGTAAATACGAGCGTGATCCCGCCCTTCTGAGACTGTGTTCAAATTGTGACCATCTTTCTTATTTTTGAGGTCAAGCCGTGGGTACCTAGGTAGTCATCAAGATGGGCAGCATATTCTCGAAGGCTGCGCCCAAGGCACCAGCAACAGTGGCTACAGACACGATCATCCCCTTGAACCCCAATGATGACACTGCCTTGAACCGAGGCATTGTCATGGGCTTCATGATGCGCTTTGATGACGTCTTGAACCCAGAAAGGCTGCACTCGTCACTTACGAAGTTACTGGGCCGTGAAGGATGGCGAAAGCTTGGTGCTAGATTAAGACTGAACGTAAGTTATGATCTCAAGTATTCGAAAATGCGCCGAGACAGCTTTTCACATATGCGGCAGTCTCAAAAAAAGCTTGAGTACCATGTGCCTGAGCTATACAACTCCGAAAGACCAGCTATTGCGTACTCGCACCGGAGGCACGACTGCAGCATCAAACATGATCCGCTCGCTTCGCGGCTACCGAAAGCAACTTCAAGGCCAGCAGTCATAGAAACTCCACCAGAAAAGTTCCAGGATTTAATGCGAAGATCAGATGGCCCCAAGTCGATGCAAGACTACATCTATCGCGATGAACCTCAGCTGAGTCTGCACATCGTCTCCTTCAATGACGCGACGCTTGTCAGTTTGACATGGCTGCACACGTTATGGGATGGGATCGGAAGGCAGGAACTTCTGACTGCGTGGACTGCCATCCTCGAGGGTCGCGACGACGACGTCAAAGTCTTCCACGGGTTTGACACAGATCCTTTGGCAGAGCTGGGAAAGAACCCTGCAGAGCCATTTGTTCTGGCTGATCAGCGTCTTTCAGTCTGGGGACTGGCCCGAATCGTCCTGCAGTATATTTGGGACATCCTCCGTCATCCTTTTGAAGAATCTCGCATTGCTTGTATACCGGCAGCTTACATCGAAACACTCAAGAAAAAGGTCAACCAAGAGTTGAGTGAACAGAGCACCGGCCAAGAAAAGTTATTCGCCAGCGAGGGAGACATCGTGACCGCCGTTATCGGCCGCCTATGGTCGCAACATTTGCCTCCCAATACCAACAAACCGATTGTCCTCGGAAACGTCATCAATATACGTCCTGCGCTTGCTCAGGACATTCTTCCAGAAAAGACCGCATTTATATCAAACGCCACATCCCTGATCCTAACAACCATCACCGCGGAGGACCTCTGGACAAGGCCGCTGAGCTACACGGCTGCCGCGATACGACGATCCATCCGAGAGCAAGGGACTAGAGCGCAAATTGAAGCTCGCAAAGCCCTAGAAAAGAAGCATTCTGCAGCTTTCTTTGGTGACAAGAACATGCATCAGATTTTACTGTCAAACTGGGGCAAAGCCAGATTCTTCGAAACAGACTTTTCTTCCGCCGTCGTCGAGCCTCACTTAGTCTCTGTTGCTCAACCGCACAAACTTGGGCGCCCCTCGCTGATTCTCAATGCGAACTATGTCAGTGGCTTCCCACTTAGATTTGCGGGTCCGATAATTGGCAAGGACCTAGATGGCAATATTTGGTGGGGTGGCATGTTGCGGACTGGTCTTTGGGGTAGAATTGCGCAAACCTTGGAAGATCAGGGTTGGTATTTGGTAACTAAGTAGTCTGCTTGATTCTATCTGCACCACGTCACTATCGCAGATCTATGTCTTGTCTATATCTAGATAGCTGGCTTGTTGTGCTCGAATTATGTCTGCTCGTGGGTTCGCCTCGTTTCGTGCCCAATTTACATCATTGTTTTCCCAACAATATTTTCAGGCCCTTCAAAGCTTGTTCGTTAGCCGTGAACAGAATGCCACCGGCCAAAACCGTTCGTCCTAGTCGCATGACTGTACCTCTCCAAAGGCCCTTTACTCCATCCTCGGCCATGATCGCTCGAAATGACTCCATTGTGCCCACGGCTTTGGCCTGTTGAGCCTTTGTCTTGATCGTATCAAAGGGTTGCGTCGCTACGGTCGTGACTGTGCCAGCAAGCGCGCCGTTGGCAAAGCTCATGATCGGACCCTCAGGGCTGATTCCCTTGCTACGCTCGAAGTCTTTGATGATACTATAGCTGCCGAGGCGAAATCCCGTGGTGCCGATTTGTTTCAGGGTTGTGGTTATATAGCCGCGCCAAAGAGCCTTCAGAACTCCTTGTTCTTGTGTCAGAGTTTTGATGCAATTCACTGCACCTGTGAATCGTCGCGTTGTCTTGGCATCGTCGATGAGCGCTGTCTTGATGCGCTCGCTCGGTGTGACAATGATCGTGCTGCTGACGATCCCAGCTACCATTCCTGACGCGATACTTTGCATGGGTCCTAGCGTACGCGTCTTCTTGTCTTCGAATACGGAGCGAATGCTGTCGAACGCGACGAACCTCACCGCGTCCTTCCCGATAGACCCCACGATCATCGTGCTGCATCCCTTGTAAAGCGCTGGCAACCCCTCATCGCGCGCAACGCGCAGAACAATCGCGAAGGGGTTCCTTGTCCCTTTCTGGTGCCCATAGAGCTGTACTCGCGTCTTGGCGAACTCAAATGGGTACGTGCAGGCGGCTTCTACACCGCCGGCGATGCCTCCCGCAGCGAGTGAGAGTAGCGGCGATGTCTTGCCGTCCGCCGGAGCGACCATCGCGAACCCAGATCTGCCCCGGGGGCGTGTTGAATTTCGAGTTTTAATTGAAACGAGCACTCTTAATGTGTACACAAATCAAGACAAAAGTAAGCCGGCTGGTCGTAATCTTTGGACTTAATGTCGGAGAAATATGTCGATGGTTTATGAGGATTGCGACGATCGGCCCGGCCCGGTGTTCGCCTCGGTTAATTGTCGGTCTCGTGAGGACGCTTATCGCCGGATGCTCTTCAAGCTAGGTTACACCTTAGCGGTGATCCAACACCACACACTGAAAACCGTGGGAGTCATTTTTCACGTTGTCGATACACTTGACGCGCCTTACACACCACAAATTGTCACTAACTATGCGAACATGATCAATAGTGGTAGGTAGTTCATCAACTTATCATGGTCCTCTTCTCGTAAGCCTCGATTCTATGAGAAACGTAACTACAAGATCGTCAATGTTCGCTTTTCTGCTCCCTCAAACCACGATGACTTTCCCCGGTCAAGAAAAGCACCAACGCGGTAGAACAAAGACGGAGATCTTTCCATCAATATCAGTCCCCTAACATTCTCGCCCACTTGTTCTGGGTGCCGTTCACTTCTGAGACCGAGAAAATACAAAGTGTCTTGACTCCGCAATACCTCATGATGTTCCTGGCTGTATTGGTCGGCGTCAAGAAATATGTACCCGACCCATTCGTCCTCATAATTAAGCCATCTAGTACCATCAGAATCTTTACCATGACTGCCTGCAGCTCTGGTAGCCAAGCACGGACCCGAGATGGTTAGAGACCCCGAGGTAACCCTCCCGTAAGGATTCCCGGGGGAGTTTAACGTGGTTTCTGCACCAATGATATCCACGAGGCTCTCTCCGGTTTGTGCAAACGCAAAGTCAACGGATCCTTGCACGGATGCCCATGACCATGACGGAGCCACCCATTTCTCTGGTCGGGATTTCTGAGATTTGGGCAAGAAAATATCTAGTGCCCCTCCCTGCCGCCAAAGCAAACTTCTCTCCAGCTGCTTGTGCCATAGGCCCGCCAAGTAGCGACCTAGCCTACCATTCAGTAATGTGTCGAATTCCCGGGCCATTCCTTCTATTGCAGGGAGTCTGTCTGCTGGATTGGTAAGATTCCGGGATGAATAGTTCTGCACAAGGCCATCCCAAAACGATGCGAAAACTCCTTCTCTTTGGAGCCAAGGGGTGTACATGGGAAAGAAAGGTTTCATCTTGATCTTGTCAAGCAAAGAATGAGGACAGATGTAATGGATCCTGGAGGAAGTAAAAACCAGCCGCCGAGGAGCCAGTTCCCATTCTTGGAGAGCCCATGCCCGGCGACTGATAGGCTCGTCTTTGAACTGAACGCTGGTGTCTAGAATGACTGATGTGTTCTGGGTATCCTCGTGTGGAGGCTTGACAGGAATCTGGCATTGATGCGCGGCTATAGAAAAGAAGCCATCGCCGGAGTCTGGGGCATTGGCTGCGACTATTGTGATGAAAGAGTTCTTGTAGATACTGGCCATTCTGGCCGACTCATATAACCAATCTTCGTCAGAGTCTTGGAGGATGCATAATGCATCGATCCAAATGTACTGCATACGGAGCCCTTGCGCTACTCGAAGAGCATCTTGCAGACTGAGAGGCAGTGCCGAAGGAGAGAATCCTTGCTGTCGGTCGGCCAATGTCGCCGAAGTGAGTGTGAACGTATTCGATTTGCCCCAACAGTATGACAAGGCGGCGTATTTGATATTCTTGCCAACTTCTGCTGTGTTTTTGATCGTGATCAAGTTGTTAGCGTGATTACTGAGGTCGACGAGTCGTGTTGGTAGCTCTACCTCCCCGATGGGGAAGCAAGCATGGTCCGCTTGGCATTGAAAGATCTCTGTTTGGGCCATTTGCCAGTGACTTGGGACTGACTGGTCTTTGACACAGTTAGAGATGTTTCTCAGAAGACCATAGTTTCATGTCACCTACCGCTACCATTTAGAAGCCTGCAACTTATACTCTGTGGTTCTACAACTCGCGGCTCTCGTTCTGAGGCATCATTGCCATGTACACACTCTTGCGGGGAGATGGTGCCTGCATCTATTCTTATTATAAAAAGTAGTAAGTACTTCTCGTAGCCCTTGAGGATCACTTTAATTGGTGGTTTGTTGTATGATCTTATTTTCGCGGGCTTGGGCCGTTTTGCGAGCTTCATCATAACGCTTTCCCTGGCACTTCTGGCTAACATTGATCGCCTTAGAGCAGAAAGCTCTATGCAATATCATACATAGACTGCAAGTTTCCCTCGAGGCTGAGATGTCAGCTAAATTGCCCACCATGCGGGATCAATCAAGGTCGTCCAGATCCGAGGGTAAAGTGATGGTTTGGCAACGGGCGCACAACGGCTGCATGCCAGTCAACGCCGCCATTTCTGAACTAGACAGACTTGAATCGGGGGAAAATAGGCCCTTGTACCGAATCTATCAATTCGAAGGTGGCGTTGTAACTTGTAAAGCCGGGTCAGCCACTACCCATAGTAAGGTAAGCAAGGATATCCAAGTTTCTAGCTGGCTTCGGGCTCAACTACAGCCCCGGAAGAAGACCTAACGTTCTTCAGAACTTCCTACTGTACAGCTTCTGAGAAGAAGACTTGAAATGGTAATAGGAAATGCCGACGGAACTTACGTGCTTGGAATTGGTTAGGCTCAGATGTTGTCGAAGCTTAACGACACGGAGCCTCACACTTCCATACCCCTCCATACCCCTCCATACCCCTCCATACCCCTCACCTCGTTTAGGCAGCAGTTTTCCTATCCTGTCTCCGCTGTTAATTTGCTGACATTCTTTGGACCACCGACCAACAGCCTCAGTTACCTAGGCCACAAAACCCTCCATCCAAGGACCTCTACGTCTAAGCTTTCAGTGTTCTAAGAATCATGCTCCATATCGATGAATGCGTTTTGGATCGACCAACACAGACTATAAGTAGACCTGCGCGTTGATCTCTAGTTTCCGAGCCCCACCTAGCCTCAGTTATGTACTCTCATGTATTTTCTCGTCGCAATTTTGGACCCGCGCATAACTAGATGTTTCTCATGATGCGCGACTGCGTCCTTCACACGTATGGTTCGTGCTTCTGCTTCTGCTACGGCAATGATATACACACCCACAGCTGCTGTGGGTGGCTCTGCGCCTGCTTCCGCAAACTTGGCCATGAGTATCTCACTCGTCTACTTTACTCATGTGTGTGCTTTTCGTCGAATGGCCTGGTTTCACCGGAGTCTTTGTCGTCGTAGGCGATACATCTTACTTCAGACCCAGATGTGAAATGACTCTTCGTCGAAAAGCTCCGCTGAGATGAGCGGGTCTTGTAAGTTATTGAGTTGGAGCCATGGGAGCAAAGGGCCAGGGGTACGCCATCGACTCAGACTTGAGGATAGAGCTACCAAGTATTCCCAGTCCAAGTTTCTTACTTGCTAGTCGTGAGTATCAGAGTGATACGGAACCTTGTTTTCATACGACGCTTTGTAGCAATCGAGCCCATGAGTTGGTGAGGCTTAGAGGGAGGGCCTTTAATAACCTACCGGTACGCCCACGCTTCTTTTCCAGTACGCCTCGACAGATAATTTTTCTCTACATACCGGCTACAAGCTGAATATCTCGGCCTCAGCTAGCTGTTGATGGTGGAGTAGGTGGACCTAGAATTCCTTTGGTTGCGGCACGGCCATCTACGACGGTTAGGCAGCAGCATTACAGAAATTTTCACTCTAGCATCGAAACGGGATACCCCTATGTTGAGCTGGCTGCCTCCGAGAATGATACATGTAATCCAGGACTCAAAGTTCTTTACCTCTATTACTTGCCTTTTCAAGACAAGATGCAACGTTGACAATGGACCGAAGGCATATTCGTGAACATCACTCGGGCAATGCGCTTAGACCCCTGAATGCGGGTGTGGGTTATGTTGTGGGTTGTGAAAACTCCGCCGAGTATCAATGTTCGCTTCATGCAACTTGAAAATGCAGGATCTTATCTTATGGATCCCCTGCGTCAAGATTAGCCATATATTGACGTTTACTGGGTAGGATGCTCTTTGCTGCAGGTAGTACAAGGCGCTTTTTGACCCTTTCTACCTTTGGGACACTCCAGGGCAGCCCCTTGCTGAACCACCCAAGCGACCTAGAAAGCCTTGGAGAGATGTCGGTGATGCTTTATGTTTTAAGAAAATCGGCATTTGATCAAACCCATTGAGTGACTACTTGGGGGTTCTTCTACCTTAAAGTAACGAAGTCTGGGTGCTTGACTGCCTGCTTCATCGTGTAATACCAGCTTCCGAGGATGTACTAACTTTGGTTGCCATGTCCACTATGTAAGGTTCTGGCAATACAAGTTGGTAATAGCTTCCAATTCATCTCAATATTCATGCGACGCGTCATCGCTCAAATGCACTTTCCTGGTGCCTGGAATCGTCTTCCGGCGGCGTCTTGGCGACGCCCAGTTCCCAAGATTATCATCCCGAATCCAACTGCAGACAACTTATCCGCAGCAAGATAGAATTAAGTGCAAATATCATGAATGGCAATACGAGAAAGTGGGCGAGTTCCAGCAGCACAGCCTCTGTGTAGTCCAAAAAGGGAATTGAGACACCATGGTGCCATACCAGAGAGATAGCCAGCAAGCTTCGGAGCTTGATAGCCCAATGAAGAGGTTACTGGAGTGATCCGGAGTATATGGTCTACCCCAATTGGCATTTGCCCAAGCTCGCGCACTTTTCTTTGGCCAAAAGTGGCAATTACCCCTAAAGCATGCATCTAAGTCATTGAGCAGATTGCCTCCCCGTTGTGATGAAGACTCAAGAGGTGGTCCACGTACCAAGGGAGGCTTCAGGAGCAGCAGTCAGGAGTCCTCGAGCAATAATGAAAACGAGGTATAAATCCATGGAAGCATCCCACCATATATCAGCCAGATTCATCAATGCCACAATACAATCAATCTCAGTGTCGATCTCTTAAGACGTTATCATGTT